CTTCGTTATTCGTAGACGACACACACCCACTTCCATCGTTTAATTCCAAATGTGCTGGCACATGTAAGGCAGCATGGGAGGGAAGCTATCTCCTCAGTTTATGGTAGCTTCCAAAAGCTTCCTGGCCGATTTTGGAAGCTTCAGTCTATTTTTTATTTTGTTTTTATGGTATGGTTTTATTCGGTTTTTATTTTCCTTTCCTTTTTATTTTTTTTTGTTTTCCTTTTTTTCAAATTCGTGATTTATTTTCAAATTCAAAAATATTTTCCAATTCCGTGAACTTTTCTCAAATTTGTGGACCTTTTTCCAAATTTCGTAATTTTTTGGGTACTTTTTCATTTTTTGGGAACTTTTTAAAAATTGCAAACCTTTCCTAGCCTCGAACTTGTTGACAATTCATGAACGTTTAAAATGCATGAAAGTTTTACAATCCATGATTTTTTGACAAATCCACAAATAATTTTTTGAGTATGTGATTTTTTTTTCAATTCTTTGAATTTTTGTCAAATTCGTAAACTTTTCATGAACGCTTGAACTTTTTTTGAATCTATCCTTTTTTAATTTTTGTATTTTCTCAAAAAGTCAACGGTCAACAGTGGACCAGTTGACCGTGAGAGGTCAATTGTATCGAGCGACTAGGGAACCAAGCACTTGCCTCGTTGTTGGACCGGCCCATGGAGTAGGGGCATGTGAGAGCTGGCTCCTTTACCTGGAGCTTAATGCGCTTGGGAGGAGGTCTCCTCGAAACGACTTGGGTTTCGCCTGGCCACCCCATGGAGCAACTCGGGTGTGTGTTCACTCGGCTTTGTTGGCCCTTCAAAGAGAGAAAACCCCAAAGACCCAGCTTAACACACATTTTTACCAGTTAGTTTGTATGTTCAAAGGTACATTGGTCATTTTAGCCTCTCCTACTATTTCAGTGGTCAAAAAAACACATTGGTCATTTTAACCCCATCTTTTTCGTAAATCGGCTTACACACCAACATAGTTTTTTTCTTATTGTAAATAAGCTTTAGCCAAGAGAGACAGTTCAAGGAGGTAAACACAACGAAGCATGAGTGGTTTCCATCCTCTTAAACCCATAATAAACAGAACCCCTATCAACTTCTCTAGCACCACGGTCTATGGAAACATATGAGATACTCTCTCTCACCGGGTTGAGTGGTCTTTCTTGAAAGAGATTATGCTAAAATTAGGCTTTCGAGAGAATTGAGTAAATCTTATTATGCAATGTGTATCCACTATTGAATACCGGGTTAGCTTTAATGTGGAAGAAAGTGAAAATTTCAAGCCAACAAGGGGTTTAAGCAGGGCGGCCCTTTATCTCCCTATCTATTTTTTTATGTACGGAGGGGATCATTGCTCTCTGTGGAGAATGTTAATACCTTGGGAGTGAAGGTTTGCAAAGATGCTCGCCTATCACCAAACTTCTCTTTGTTGATGACTCGTTGATCATCATAAGGGCTAATATGCACAATATGCACAATGCCGAGACACTTGAATTCAATTCTGGATTCACATTGTGCTGCTTCTGGGCAATTGGTAAGTGTTGATAAGTCAAGTATCTTTTTCAGTCCTAATTGGAGTGAAGAAGTGAGAGAACAAATGTGTGTAACTTTGAATATCATGACAGAAGCCCTAAATGATAAATATTTAGGCTTGCCTGCCAATGTGTGGTTGGATAAAACAGATTGTTTTTAGTATCTGATAGATCGTATTATCAACAAAATCAGTGGTTTGAAAGGAAAAATATACATGTTCGAGGCAGTGGTGAATCTACTAAGGGACTTTAACATGCTTAAAGCCCTGCCTCCAGCGCTACAATTTTTTACTACTAGCCTCAAAGCCCAGCCTAGCCCAACAAATGTTCGCATGCCGCAGGCAGCCCAGACCCTCTCCATTTTCTATCTAGATTCGCCACTGGTTGGAGGGCAGGAGATCCTTCTCAAGGTTGTTGTCCAAGCCATACCCACCTATGCATTGTACGTATTTAAAATTCTACAAAATGAAAAGAAATTATTGATGCAATATCGCATTTTTTGGTGGGGAGATGAGCATAACCAGAGGAGGGTCCATTGGATGGCTTGGTCAAAAATGTGGGTCCCAAAGAATCAAGGAGGGATGGGTTTTCAGGATATTCACTGTTTCAATCTGGCGATGTTGGCAAAACAGGTATTGTATCTTCTTAAGAACATGACTCTTTATGTGCTACTATTTTGAGATTGAAGTACCTTCCTGATGGCGATCTATTGAACACCAAGTTAAAAAAGGACCTTCTTATACTTGGCAAAGTATCATGGCAGGCGTGAATTCTCCAAAGCATGGTTAATTATATCTGGCGAGTTGAAAATGGTCAGAAAATTGATATTTGGGAGGATGCGTGGATTTTATATTGTGCTTCCAGAAAAGTTGTCACTCCAACAGGGGGTCACTTGTTATCCCGGGTGGTGGACTTTATTGATCCGACTTCTAATAATTGGAATGCCAATCTAGTTAGACAACCTTTGTGGCCTATTAGTGCACAACAGGTCCTTGCTACCCATTTTCCTCTACATGAAATGCAAGATTTTATCGCTTGGAGTTTTACGAAAAATAGTTTGTTTTCGGTTCGGCCAACCTTTTTGGTGGAATGGGATCATCAACATGGAACTAAACTAAGATGTACTAACGGAATGGGACAAACCACTGTTAATCCTATCTGATATCTGGAAGCTCTCGTGCCCTGCAAAGGTTAAGATCTTTATTTGGCGTACGTTGCATGGTACACTCTCGTGTCATGTTATGCTTGCTAATAGACACCTGAATGTCTCACCTAAAAGTCAGTGTTGCATCTCTGGTCAAGAAGATACAAAACATGTGTTATTTATCTATAATAAAGCAAGAGAAGTTTGGGGATGGACGAAATCATTAATAGAGCTTGCACAGTTGATCGTGGTGGGGAGGTAGTTCCAGAATTCCTACTTTTACGAGAGCAGTATTTATACATTGTGGAGAATTTTCGGTAGATCATAGTCATTACTGGTAGATATCTGGGGTTGGAACGTCGTAAACTGGTCCATGAGGAGAAAGTTCAGAATGAGCTACACATCTCTATTCGCGCGCTTACGACTAACTTTCTAATTGCTTCTTCTCCTAAGGCTACTATGATAAATGGGGGTTGGACCAGCCCCCTAGTGGCTTTGTCAAACTTAATGTTGACGCATCTTTTGGTCAAGACCTCCTTAGGGGCACTGCCGGGGCGGTCTTGG